TATAGATTAGAGTATTTCCTTCAAGCATACGTTTCATTTTCTTTTCGGACGGCGAACCTCGCCCCCTCTGTTTTGCTCCCCCCCCCCAACCTCCTGGCTGCCAGAGCTTTCCGCGGCCACGCCCACCCCAGGGAACTCTCCTCAGCGAGAACCACTCCAACTCCCCGAACTTCTCGCCGAAGTTGCTCAGAGCACATTCTCGTCCTGAACTTTTGCAATGGAAGGGCTCGGCTCTAGAAGGTGCTATGCCACATTTTCTTTGAAATTAAGATAATGTTACTAACGTTCTCGCCAAGTCAATTTTGTGTAGATATTGTGTAGATACATTTTGTGTAGATATTGAGATGCTTGTGCAAAAAAAATGCCGGTTTATTACGATTAATGTTAATGATTCTGGCGTAAAGGACGTCGGACAGAAACCAGCTTCTTTTTCAGAATGGACTTGAAGTAGCCTAATAGAGCGAAGCCCTTCGATTATAAACTCTGTAGCCGTAGATCCATCTTGCTGCTTGGTCTATTAAAGGCGGAAGGCAGCCTCATTCTCACACATAATCATCGCGCGTGCATGCACACTCGCTCGCGCACACGCGCACGCACGTAAGGACACGCTCACGCACGCTCTCACTCACACACACACACACGCTCGCACACACTTAGAGTAGCCAGTGAGAGAAAAGGATAAAGTGCATTTAGCTGGTCCATGAGGTACAGAGAATGAACCCATTCCGCACACAGCTCGACTTTGAAGGCGGCAGGCCGCTTTAGATAAAACGGCACCTGCCTCACGTGCAAGGTCCTCCGCCCTCCTGCCCGACTAGAAAGAGTTACTCGAAGGGCGGGGAAGACAATCAGGCCACAACTCGCGGCTGCAATCGACCAAGGCCCCGCGGACCGCGCTCACTTCTGCACCAGCGCCGCAGCGGCCGCAACAGTTCCGCTGGCCACGTGAAGAACTGGACTTGCTGTTTATTTAGTTTCCTGTGCGCTGGGAAGAAATGCAGGAAACAATGTATCTCTATTAAAAATTCATTTACACCGCAGTGAACGTTTGTAATTTCATATTTCGTCGATAATTTTAAAGAGAAATCCTTTTATAGGTTTCAAAACCCATCGCTTTTACATTTGTATTGAAAAATGTATTTAATCACATGTAAATAATTAAAACTATATGATGCAGCGATTATCACGCTAAATGCACAGCGCGCATTTCACAGAGCATGTAAATAAATTATGTTTTTGTGTTCGCAAATGCACATAATTAGGAGCGTGAAGACCAGGAAAGAGGGCACAATGGAGTACTGAAAGATGAGTCCACTCGATGAGTGTAAATATCGAGAAAGATACTCTGATAGAAACACAAACTACTCACATTTTAGAGAGGGTGCAGTGGGCATAATATAAGAGTATCAGACTCTAGTGATCCAAATAATAATTTTATTTTATTCAGTCCTAATTTTGATCATGCCAAAATGACCAACCTCTCCTATGAAATCTCTAAGTGAACATAAGATGGAACAGGACATGACATTGCTTTTGACACTACTGAAGTTCTTTCTCGTGAAACCAAATTTTACTCCCGATTTTACTCCCGAAACTAACAACAATCATCAAGCTACGTACAAAGGTTCTCTGTCAAAATATTGTGAGTTAGCTTTCAATACATTTACAATATGCATTTATCAATTGATATTTTATTTGAAAGGATTTACATTAATTGTAACTGAACAATCTATTAACTAACTCTTTGACGGTACTTTCCACTCATTTCGAAAAAGAATGGGAAAATCACGTTTTCTAAGACACTTCTAACCCATTTCGCCACTTACAAAACTTCCTATATTCCACGAATTTTCACTATCTGTTGATTTTAATGGAAACATGTCAAAAGTTGCGCCTCTTGCTTTTTCTAGTAGAATATCGGGAGGAGTCCACATTGTTTCCACATCTTCCATTTCAAGATACATTACGTCGATAGGACCTGACATTCTCTTCACCATTGAAGAAAATACAAGAACCATGAAAAAGTATTTTTATATTAGTATTTAATTGGCTGTCCGGGTGACGCCGCGGTCATGGCAAAGGTGTTGACGTTTTGGTCGCCATTCTGCGACCTTCCTCAGGGCGTAATTCGCAAGCGAAGGTCGCAGAATGGCGACCAAATCGTCGGCACCTTTGCCACGGGCGCCGCGTCACCCGGACAGCCAATACTGACTCCGGCCGCGGAAGCCTACGCTCTCATTTTTTATATAATTTTCATAGATAGTACATTGTTCAGCAGCGAGACTCTTCAGTTGATTGACCAAGTAGCTATGTAAGAGCAAAGTGTGAAGGGAGTAACTTCTTGGCATCTCCCTGATTGTGATTTCCCTAGGTTATACCTTCAACCAAGGTTATTGCGAGAAAAAATCATTAGAGTGCGATGACCGGATTGGAAAGGAATATGATGGAGAGACAAGTAAATGGAAGAAATGTCCTTACCTTATCTAATGTCGGAGAAATTTTAAAGGAAAATATAAAATGGGAGTCTGTTTCTTAGGCAGGAGAGTGGGGGCTGATCAGTTCTTATTTCGTAAATGTTGCTCCCTGTACATGATTTAAATTATTGAAGAAATTATTTACCAGTTTCGTAATAAAGGTAGCCGGTTCTATTGCGAAATCGCTGTGAAGTGTTTTATTGCTGACCAACCAGAGGGCATTTACTGTTATTCTTGGGATTTGTATTGAAAGATGTGTAACTTATTTAATGTGATCGAGGCAGCTGAAATCCATACAGGACATGCGTACGTTAATATCGAACTAAGAATAGATTTGAAAATTATTAAACAGGAATGATTTTTTAAATAAGAGTTGCGATTGAGATCGGATGTAAAATAGCTAACCGTCTATTGGCTTCAATTACTTTAGAGGAGATGTGACTGCGCCAATTTAATCTTGCGTCCATGAGAACACCGAGATAACGAATAGATGAATTTAGAGGAGACCAGGGTATGATAGAAGAGTCTAGAGATAAGGGGTGAGGAAAGACAGGATACATTAAAGAAAATACTTTGGCTATTGATTTATTGGAGTTAATTTAGATATTCCATAACATTGACCAAATTGCTATGTTTTTAGGTGGCATGACATGCTGAGTTTATGTTTGGGTTTCCGTAAAAGAGTAAAGTGTAATCTGCAAAAATAGCTGTGTTAACTGTGTTAGTGGTAGTATATCTGGGACACACAAATTAAATAATAAAGGAGATTTTTTAGTCTTTTTAATACATGTTTTTGGAATATTTTTTAGAAAATTAGAATGAAACTAATTAGTCTGTAATTTGAAATAAAAAAATTGAATTTTTTGACATTTAGGAAAACGTATAATTAGAGTGTGTTTCGAGGAGTTAGGATAATATTCTATTTAAAAATACTTTAAATTTAATAATACTTTAAGGTGTTTGCTGTAATTGTGTCATGGTCTGGTGATATTTTGATAGGTAATTTTTTTGATTAGTTCAAATAATTCGTTGGATGATATAAAAAATCGATTTGAAACATGAAAATTTGGTGAATGCACAAAATGTGTTATTGTACGATGTCCTCTATCGTTTACAGCATGATGGGAGAAAGTGGTTTCAAAATAATCTCTTAACATCTGAGCTTTTTCAGAAATCGACTGTGTTACATTTTAATCGCGGAATATTGGTTGACTGACCTAGCAATCGACGTGCTGCTTTCCAAAGAGATGAGTCTTTTGAATTAAGATTTGAAACCTATTTTTTGTAATTTTTCAATTGAAACATTCGAAGAGCATTTCGTAACAATTTAGTAAAATGGTTTAATGCAGATTTCAAATGAGGTAGAAGATATTAAAAAGGATGAAACCATGCTAACAAAATACATGATCGAGTGACTACCACACTACGTTTTGTTGAGTGTAACTGACACATTTTCTTCTAAAATTGTATTTTGACAAAAATGGTGCACACATAAATGAAGAAATTTGCACACTGCATCGTACTGCATCGTACAAACATGCTACAGGCGTCAAGGACTATTGCTGGCGCTGATGCGGCCTACGCCCAGCGCGGTGGATTCAGCGCACCCCGCGCGCTCTTGGCAGTCGCAACGAGCGGATGGATTACGCAACACATCTCATGCCACCGATTTGTTTAATTACACGAAAACATGCGTAAAAGACCCTTTTCATGACTCAAAAGGGTTGTCCGCCTTTCTTGCTTTGTGATGTAAAATAGTATTGATAATCTATGGCATATATATTATTACTGCATAATTTGAGGCAAGTAATAACACAATATCCGTTCGATATTTTAAAAAGTTTTTGTTCGGGCTGTGTCACGTTAATAGGACACTTACTAATCAACATAAAATAATTTCACACGTGCCTCATATATCGTATCCGGCACCAGATTTGTGTTCAAAGCTTATTTATCACATTTAGCAAAATTTAATAATGCAGAATTAGGGCTATTTCCAGAAGAAACGGGTCTAGTTCGGATTTAGATATTCTTTGCGCAATGGGCGATGAATTTCAAAATAGGCTACAAATACTTGCACTATGGTCAGACAAATGGCATAATTATTCATCACCTCACTACAGATTCAAAATCACTCTATAGAACGGTTACCCCCAAATACACCAGTAAAATATCTAGGAATAAATGTTGATACTAAATTGACTAGAAAATATCATATAGATTCAGTTACAGATAAAATTATATTAAAACGACGGAACTGATCGAGGCATGGACAGAAGACTAGACGTTTCCCCGTCAATTTAGTTTTCGGTATCAATGAGGAACCACACTTGGTTTCTGGTTACACAATGTGCTACAGGAAGTAATTTAGTATATGTAGAAACAAGATTTATCCACTTTTTCGCTACCAAGGCCTGACAAAAAGACGAAAATCGCCAAAACTTTCTCTGCTCGTCCGTAGTAAGGCGAGCAAGAAATAATAACCAGCGTTTAGGACTGTAACGCGTGTGAGAGTAGTTTGCTCACCTGTAGGCCTCGCAGAAGATGCGCCGCGCCCACGTCTCGTTGAAGTTGCCCAGGATGATGCGCACGTCCTTCTCGCGCAGCTTCTGCAGCGCCGCCGACACCTCCGACGCGAAGCTCTGCGTCTCCTCCACGGTGAAGTTGAGGGAGTCGAGGTCGGCCACCAGA